CAGTGTGAAAATTTTGCGAAAGCGGTGCGAAAGGTTCCGAAAATCACGCGGAAACTTGCAAAAACGAGGCGCATTGTGCAGCAAAAATGCTCAACGCTTGCCACATGCGCACGACTATTATGCAGTGAAGAGTCCATTACGCAGGCTGCGCTGCGCTTGGGGCCGGCCGGGCCAACTCACCACGTTGAGTGTGCTGTTGTAGTCTCCTAGCGATTTCCTCGGCCGAGCCGTCCAGTCCATGCAGCGCGATCGCGGGGATGTGCTCACTACGGCGACCCGCGCTTGCGTGGCGCAGTTGTTTTCTTGGATTACAATAGATAAACACTCGTCAATGTCAGAGAATAAATGTTTAAAAAGTTGTCTGGATGTTGAGTGATTATTATAAATGGGAGTCCCCAAGTTATGAAGCACATACAGTAAAATGTGTGTATTACAATAAACTTAACTTGCTCTGCTGTGGCGAAATGGGTTATTTGCCCACTTTTTATTTATTTTCGTGGTGTAGTTTGGCTCACAAAAAATCAACAATGAAATACTACATGCAGTATTTTGTTTCCGAAAGGTTTCTTACAATTGAGGAATAAAATAACTGCTTAAATTGTACGTGTATTTTCATGTAGCAAATCTCGTCTTATTGCCGATTGTGTTGGTGTGACATATCGGGTCAGTTTTCACTTGGGTTTCTGATGACATGTTACTTTCTGTGGTCACATGGTTATTGGAAAAAGTCAGCGATTGGACTATCCATGAATGGGCATGCAGTAGCAGTCAGGATGTGGTGGTAGGTGTAGATGCAGTGTGTGCTTCACTATGCGGTGCGGCATGCACGAGGCCCCGTGGCAGTTTTTGAAGAGATTTGGTAATTTTTTTTTATCGGCGTCACGAAAACGTCGAGATAACTGGATACAAGGCATTTATTCCAAAATCACGGTACATACATTTGCCAATACATGTAAACGTAACTTACATACGTGACAACATGTGGATACATGATCATGTTTAAACGCTTATAACTTATAATATAAAACATGTTAGAGAGCGCTGTAACAGCAATCTACTGTAATTCAGCTGTTCGGTGTTCAGTGCTTGTCTCCAACCTCCACCATAGCCAGCTTTGATTTCTCCTGTCGCATTGTATTGTGCTCAAAACCGAGAAACATACTGCGTTGAAATTTTAATGCTGTCTTCCTCAAGTAATCTGAATATTCCTGAGAATTGAAGAACTTTTCTCTCAGACAGATTTTCCTCCACTTTCCATATTCAGAGATGCTCATGTTTGAAACCACAGAGAACAAAAACTTCCTAATGTCCGCATGTACATGCACAAATACTACTAAATGAAGAAAGCTTGCAAAATTATTTCCCCACTACCAGAAAAAATCTGTGAAAATCTTTTCCCACTTGTGGGAAAATCTGTGAAAATCTTTTCCCACTTGTGGGAAAATCTGTGAAAATCTTTTCCCACTTGTGGGAAATCTGTGAAAATCATTTTCCACTTGTGGGAAAATCTGTGAAAATGTTTTCCCATTTGTGGGAAAAAGCATGAAAATCTTTTCCCACTTTGGTTAAAATCTGTGAAAATATTTTCCCACTTGTGTGAAAAAGTGTGAAAATATTTTCCCACTTTTGGCACACTTTTTCACAATTTGTGAAATGAAAAGGAATTCCCTGGGAAGAGAAAAAATGTGAACAAATTTTCCCATTTTGGTGTTAACTTTCAATTGCAATGTGCTTGACTATCACTGTTACGAGGTCTGACAAGAGTGGGTCTACCGTTGACCGCATCTTTGAATGAGTGTCCCTCAGGTTCTCTCTTCCAATCACGCCAGCATGATCGATGTGAAGAGGTATGCTCAGCAGGGTTTTGTTTAATTTTCAAATATATACTTCTTTTCATCGAACTGGGAATAAGTTGGAATATTGGAGTTGTTTATATTCCCACTGGAGTTATGGTCCCCAATGTGGAGATTTTATAGGTCGAACAGGCAGGACAAACATTTGTGACCAATATTTTTGTTATTCCTCAGGGACGCTCCACTTAGGAGCAAGCTTCAATCTCATTGCCAGGATGCATGCGCTCAGACTTTGATTCCCCGTGCATGTGGTAAAACGGCTGAAGTTCCTTCAATACAGGAACGTCCACGGCCATTGTATATTTAAGACAAGACTTACTTTTTCATTCTCCAGTAATGCTTCACCATCATTCACATGTACTGGAGCTGTCACTAAACCCAACTTCCACCCAACTCAACTAGTCTTCTGGCAATGACTTCTCGCTCGATGAAGATAAACTTTTCTCCAGTGTCTGACCCTTTTCATTGTTCATAGCTTATCGGAGTACCTTCCTTTACGACTTGAAAGCATTTTCCCTGTTGTCCAGCTTTCACTGCAGTCTTACTTGGGGTACAAAAGATATGTCACCTTGTTCTAGATATTCATGAAGTTTTCATGTCTATCCACATCTACTCATAAGACTTTGCTCAGGAATATGTGTGGTGAACTTCCCATGTGAAAGGGTTGATATTTAATTCCATTTCTAGACAGGAATACCTGTTTCTAACTTATCTCTGGTCTCAAAGGTTTGTGGATCAGTTCTGGTCCTCCTTCCCTCGCCAGTCGTTTACGCACCAGTCAAATCCCGCTTTCCCTCTTCATCAATCTCCACAGGCAGCGCTTGGGAGATAGACCAGAGGGAATGTCGACACTGTCCCCATTCCCATTGGTCTGACACTTCTGATTACATTGCAGGTGCCTTTGCAGATGCCCACATTCACGGCACTTTCTTCAGTAGTAAGGTTCCAGGAGACATTTCCTCATTCAAATGAATACCTTTGTCTGCACATTCAGCAACCCACTTGCAGTCATGTCTGCCCTTCATTCAACCTGGGTCTTTATTGAATTCCAATCTGTGTTGCTACAGGTAATTGTTACGTGTTACATGGGTTCTTGTCGCAGCAACTTGGCCCCTGTCAAGTTCAACCCAAGCTTCGTTGGGGTATTGTTTACTTTCCACTCCAATCTTTCCACAGGAATTCCAGTTTCCTAATTCTACAATTCTTGTCCGTTTACATTTTCCGATCCAACTATGCTCCTCTCATGCCCTTTGCCTGGGCCTTTATCCCATAAGCATATCTTCAGCCCAACGATGAACATAAATTTGCTTATCCTGTAAACCTTTAGTCTGGCCGTCACTGTACATGTCTGTGCGAAGGTACAATTCTTTGAGTTTAGACAGCAGTATTTTCTTTCTTGTTCCCTTTATTCAACTGACCTGGAAAAATTTTGGTGCATGTCCAAACGTCAACCGTTTCACATACAAAAGGTCCGTAGCTTATATATAGGCATCCCCCGTGGCCATGTGTGTTTGTTGCCATATTGTTTCGATACAAAGGAATTGCTAGTTTTGATTTTGTAACCTTATCTCTTTTGAAACTCTTTTGGAATCTGGTTTACGATTTCAAGAATTAGTCAATTCCGTTTCCGTAAATTCGATTCCACTTGTATGCACAACCCGAAACTATGACAAGATATCAATTAGAATTTTGGCCAATTTAAAAACAGAAACTCTAAAAGTCCTTTTGACTAAACAGACATTAACTCTAACCTTCCCCAACCACACAGAATTAAACAGTAGTAAAGTGTTTAATTCTGTGGGAATAGGTCTGGTAGGCCCATAACAGCTGGCTTTTGCATTGGATTTGGCATACCTCAGAAAAACGAAGTCCAACTGCCTCTGTGCACAAAGTCCCATGTGGGTGCTTAACTTTGTGTGAATGGGGAAGGTTAGAGCCAGCAACCCTTGGGGGTTGGGTTAAATGCAAGAGTTTATGCAACTTTTGAGTAGGAAAAAAATATGTGGAATCACACGTAGTAACTGACCAAGCACCCTGTAATTTTTTCAATTTTTTGGGATCCTGTGATTTTTTACAAACCGTTCATATGGAATGTACTTGGAATTTCCAACCAAAATAAAAATATTTTGTGCCTGTGATGTGACACTATCTCAAATTACCCACTCTTCATCTTATAAGAATTTCCCAACACACCCTTTGCCTCCATAAGACCTTTTGGGGACATGTTTTCTGGTCGTTCATTATAGACTTATCCCCTTTGAATAAAAATACTATTTAACTACAATTGATGTATTTTCCACCCAATTCACTATCCTTTCTCTATCGCATAAATTCGTCCGTCTGGTTAGAATTATATTATGTCTAGATTCTGTTTATGTTCTAATTCAAAGACACTATGTACAAATATCCAGTCCTTCATACATGTAATGAAAAAGTTTGAAAAATGCCAAACAGCTCTGTGTTTGTTACCTGACAAACACAGGTCTCTTTGTTCATGTTTTTGTCTGCCATTATACATGTAGCATGTTACATTTCAAATACGCTTACAACTTTTTGTCTTTGCTCATTGTGAAATTTCTTCGGCTCTTTTGCTGACTTTATGCTGTCACAGTGAGTAGTGCTGGCCTTATTAATTTGGCCACACATGAACAAATGCAGACATGGTGTTTCCAAACTGGCCAGCTTTCATCAACGGCCATATACAGTAGGCGCAAACATTCACGGGCTTTTCACCTAAACTTGAAATTATTTTGAGAAGAACCGTAACAAGGAAACACTAAAACATGCAGGAGGTTGTGGAGGTGGCATTACAAAATGGGGCTAGCACGTGAAAAGATATGACAGTGAGGGTGCAGGACGGATACTAGATATACATTACACTAGGTGGTGTGCTGCTTGTTCCCCATTTCTCCCATGCTATACACCTTCTGGCTGTGCACTGTTTGAAAATAACCCCCAAATCTGCACATTTGTTTCTCACCACTTAAAAGTGGGAGGGGTTAGAGATTAATTGACCCATCCTTCCTACTCAATCCCCCCACCCTGCATTCACACCCTTGTAAAATGTTTCTACCTTTAACATGGGAAATTTGTTTCCAAAAGGAGAAAGAAGTCCTGACATGTACTGTATTGCTTTTTTTTGGGTAGGAATGGTTGATTATGATGAAACTAGAAGTTCAAGAAGTAGGGAAAAAACAGATCAGCTCCCACATGAAGATAAAGACAGACTTAAAAAAAAAGAAAAGAAAGAAAAAAGATTGAGGAAAGATGACTCCACCAAGAAGGATCAAGGGCAGGAAACAAGAAGACAATTTGAGGTAAGGAATACGTCCCTTTTCATGAGTTTGTGGCAAGTCACCAATCACTGGTTTTTTTCACATTATTTACTGCCGTTTCATGTATACATGTCTTGATGTAATGGTAGGGGCCAATAATTTAGTCTTATGAGCTATGTTCAGACATCATTTTAGCTAAAATGGTAACATGTAAAAAAGTTTTTCTCACAACTGGAGTCGGTTAAAAAATTAAGACCTACCACACATTCAGACAAAGTCTGACAGTGTTGCCCACAACACATATCGTTTCCATTCTACAATGGAAGACATTTGTGTCATATTAGGCTCACGTGTAACTGAATATATACTAAAACAAAAATTAACAGGATTCTTGTCATCGACCAATTTTAACAAGTTTTAGAATCCTATTTTCCAGGCTGGATCATTAAAAATGTCTTCATCTGTCTAAAAATTGTCATTGAGGGCAGTATGTGAATTGGCCAAAATCATATTGTGATAGATGGAGTAGTTCTGGCAGGGTATTTTGAATTGCTCTGTGTTACTTGGCCCATACAGTAATCATGCACGGTATGAAGGCATACATGTATATGACTGGCAGGGGCCTGTCTCAGCTCAAGTGGACGTCCGTCCGGCCCAGCTACAGCTATGGTCAGTGGCAGCAGAAATTTTGTGGGAGATAAAATGGGTTGCACATGACTGATGTCACAATATGCCCAAAACCTGTGTAGTTGGTAGTGGCTGCCTCTCACTGATCATGGATAGCCAGATACAAGTTTCTTCACATAATAATGTCAGACAACTCGACTGTTTACCTATACTTGAGACAACTTGACCATTGAGACGACTTGAGCCATGTGACAGCTTGATCATTTACCAAGTCAACTGTTAAGACAATTTAACCATTCAAGGTTTGAACAGGACGAGGTTTTGTACATTTAACACAGGTTGTAGATCATATGTTTGGGCAAATTTGCTTTTGTCGTTACATTGCAACTCGACTCACAGCATGGCATGCATAGGGACCCAATGACACAGTACACGTATGCATGAAACTGGTGGTTGATGCGTCGGTCACACTAAGCAGTGCAGTGGGTGGTTGCGACGGCAATGCGGCACGGCATATACGGTAGCATTATGCACAGTCTGTTGTGCACAAGTGACTCAGCTGTACCGTTGATCGGTTGCTAGTCTGCCGGTAAGGGACAGTAGATCTGTCCCCAAGTCCTTTCTCTTTTTTTCAATTTAAAGAAAAGGTGCAGACAATGTGACTGTAATTTGTAAAGCCCAAAGGCACTCATTACAAGTCAACCTGTCCTGGTGGTCAACTCTTCTGTCCATTTTAGGCACAGTTGAGTTGTCCCACTGGTCAAGTTGTCTCAGTGGTTGAGTCTTCTGAGTCTACTTTGACAAATGGTTGAGTTATCCGAGCCCCCTTTACATTACCTTCACAATTTTCACTTTGTGAGTTCCATCTCACATTGCATGTTCATTTACATATATGTACGTACATGTACATGTATGTGTATTAAGTTCAGTGGAGTTCAAAGATTGTGACTACAATTTCAACACACAGAGTCAAGACTGTTCAGGATAACAATCATCCTTTAACTCAATGCCTGGGGAATTTATTGACATTTGTCAAAAAATCACCGGTACGCACAGGTGATCCACCCTTCACCTGATTTCATGCCCAGTTTCCGTGCAACATCTTTCTCATCACAATTTGATTTTTATGTTGTTTCAAAATATCATGTAACCATTTTTCAACTTGCACTTTTGTCAGTTTGCTGTTTGAAACACTACAGTTCAGTATGTTTATGTTTTGAACTGAAGTGTATGTATGACACAACTTTTTGGTGCGCACATACGTGTACATGCATTAATGCCCGAGCTGTCGAGAGTGGTAATGGCTGCATGGGCCCACAGGGTGCATTCCACCAAATTGTTGGATTGCTGTGCAGGAGCTCATTGATATTCTGTGATCGGGGTTTTTACGAGACATGCCATAATCAGGAGGGATCATGGAGATATTTCTATAAATCACAAAGTTTGGACAGGCACCGTAGTTTCCAATTTGGGCTATTTCTTTCACAAAAGCCCCAACTTGTGGGCTTACATGTAGTTTTGATAGAGGCAGGTGGCTACAATCAGAGCTGACCGCATAGTTTTACTATTTGGGGTATCTTCGGGGAAAGGCAAATAAAAAAAGAATCCTGTGGCTAACCCTGATAAAATTGATATGAAAAGTGAACTTCTGGCCATAACCTTGAATTTCCAGTGAAAAACCGCAGACCAACCTCTGCCTGAGAGTAAACAGGCAGCACTCTTTTCGTCTGAGATTGCACTATGGGTGCATATTTGGTACAGTGCAACCCACAATGCTCCTAATGTACATACATTCCCACTGTGACATGCTGAAAGTACCATTCAGTGTGTGCCTTACAACCGAGACTTTTGAAGGTAAGGCAGGTTCACAATGTAAGCCAGTATTTGTACTCAACTTGCTGTCATAAAGACAGAGAATTCTAAGTTAATTTTACATACTTTTAGCATTTTAACATTTTTTTTAGTTCAAGCTGCACAAAAATTAAAAAAACATTGCCAGTGTTCTGCCACATCATCAAGTCCTTGCTGGACCTGCATTGCAAACAACTGCACTGTTGATGGCATCTGCTTCCAAAAGTTTGGGCTAAAAGTGTTATTGCAAACCGTCATCTTGTCATCTTGTAATTGACAAGATTATTCTCTTCATAGGATCATCAGTGTCATAGCAAAACACACTGACGCCTCCTCAGTCGCTGTCAGAAAACGCACTGATGCTAGGACCGCTAGGCTCGAAGTCTAACATTGTTTATGCTACTGCAGCAAACAGTCATACATCTAGGTACATGTATTCCGACTTCCACATATACCGGTACTGTGTCACAGCTTTTCAGGATGGTCAAATGAAACCGTTGCCTGTTTTTCTTTTTGTGTCTTACATTCAATTTCAAATATGTAGTAACAAAAAAGAGACTTAGGCTCTATGATGTATATGGGTCTACTCTACATTATACGACAAATTGCAGAAAAAGGTCCTTCATCATTGAACTCATCTTTAATCACTTCCAGCCATAGGCCTTATATTCGTGGCCGGGGACTCCGAAATCGGAACTTTACTATAAAAAAAAAGTTGCTGGGCGTTTCTTTAAAAGTTTGGGCTGTCAGTTAAAAAGTTTAAGCCATCATTGGCCGTAAATAAATTGGTCCAAGGCAATAATGGGTTGCTGGGGCCGGAGAATTGTGACTTTATTTTATAGCCGGGGTGACCGAACTTATAAAAGCCTGGAATAAAAGTACGAGCTGCTGAGAGCTGCTGGGCACTGCCAATCATTCCCTGTATTCTTTCAGCGCAGAGCACTGCAATTAGCGGAGGTAATCCGTGTATTGTTTGTGCAGAGTGCATTTGTTCGCGCTGCCGGGCGCTCGCAGGGGATTATCGCTGCACTGCACCGAAGACAAAGCGCAGGCTGTGCTGGCTCATTATGCACCTGTGCCCCATGAATGACCCGGCCCGGGCGCTGCTGGCCCTTGCCACGTTGACTGACAGGGCACGGCCCTAGCTGCTTGAGAATAAAAGCGCCGTGCTGTGGCCACATGTGTTCATATTGGGTATCGTGTTATTCAGAGCACAGACAATATGGCTGAAGTTATATCTGGAGAGTCCAGTTCTTCCAGTGAAAGCGAGTTTTATCTGACTTCAGACGAAGGTTCTTCATCTTCATCACCGCCGTCACCTGCTCAAGTACAGTTAAGTACAGAAATTGACAGTGATGTACCCTTGGCGGTATATGCCAAGAGCAAGAGACAGTCCCGTACACAGACTGCCGCGTCGACCAGCAGCAGTGCCGCACCATTCCGGTGGACAGATGAAGACAGTACACCGCTGAAGTATGGCTTCACCGGTAATGGTGGTGCCGTCGATCCCCGCCTGCATCGCAGCTCGACCTGCAGTGAAGCCTTTGAACTGTTTTTTGACGACGTTCTCTACAACAAGATAGTGCAAGAGAGCAACCGGTATGCCATGCAGAGGCCCGCTATGACATCGGCGCACATGCGATCATGGACTGATCTGAACACTAGAGAACTGAAGGCCTTTCTGGGCCTTTGCATAATGACGGGAATTGCAAAGCACCCCACACTTG